GAACAAAGTAACTGCAAGACCATGGTACAGGGCTGCCAACTTTTCACCAAAACTTGGAGTGAGAGTGTGAAAGAATTTGGACATGCAGCTCTTGTCAGGGTTAGATGGGGATAGGTGGAGCTATAAGTTGTAGGTTTTCAGAGGATTAAACTGAAACAAAGTTGTAATTTATTGATTATATTAAATATTTTTATAGCACCGTAAATGTTACTGAATAATAATCAGTGATCTGTAGTTATGTGGAAAATTTCCCACAATATACATTATTTTCTATATTATGGGGATTTTCAGAGAACTGAAGTGAAGAAGAATGGGCCCTACTAAAATACTTGCATTATAATTATACTGTAAACTAAAAATTTCACATCTGTTTTTAATAATTATTCTATGCAATTTAAGTTACATAACCAATAGGGAACTAATATGTTATTATTGGATTACTGACACTAATACAGGAACCACTGAAAGTGATTCTTATTAGTTTGTTTTTTTGTTGTTTTAATTATACCTAAATTCTAACGGGAGATTATTCAACTAAACTGAGCAATAATGATTTAACTTGTGAGCAAAACATGGACTAAAACAGGGACTAAATCAGGAGGATAAACTAGAGCAAACAAGGAGTAAAGCTCAGTTTAAAAAAAGCACTAGGTATAGAGAAAACAAACCTTTTGATTTGATCCTACGCCGCAGTCTACTCAGTGATAATTCAAGCTAATTGCTGTATAATGTATTCATATTTACTCAAGTGCTAGACTGCTTAAAATCTTCATTAGTTTACAAAGTGAATTATCTTAGTCCAGATAAAATAAGATAAATTAAAATGACATACCTCGTAATAACTGCTCAGAAATCCCCCTATTTTTTCAATATCTGGCGCCAATCCCTCACCTCCGCTGCTTTCAGCACAGTGAACAGGTGGACTGGAGCAAAAATATGGACTGGATCTAAACATGGCACGTCTTCGTGTTAGCACTAAGGTTGTGTTGAAAAGACGGACTGGATTTTTCATCAGCATGGTATTTTTATATATAAATAAGCGGAATGGAGTTGAGTTTTAATGTCCGTCATTTTTTATTGTGAAAAATTGGGGATCTGGAGCGAGAGCGTGTGAAAACACTGAGATGCGGTAGTCTCACAGCCAATGAGTGAGAGCTGACGGCCCTCTGGCATGAAGGCAGACCTGGGTAGGTCTGTGGCTA